GGTACAAGAAAGAGAGTGAGACGACCACTGCGTTGGCTAGTCCATGGCGCGCAATTAACTGGTGAGCGTTGATAATACTTGAACTTGACGAAGGTTAGTGAACTGTTCGACATTCAGTGACCCGACTACCGGATGATTTTGCTATGTTTCAGTGACATTTCACTGGCCCAACAATAGTATTCTGAACTTAGCGGCGTCATCACGTTTGTTGAGATCGACCTGAAACAAATCTTTTGTTTCTTGAACCAGGAATTTAGTGTTATGACAGCCAAACCACCAAAACGAAATTCATGGATAGAATCGGTGACAGGATCAGTATGTGGGTTATATGAATCATCAGTAAGCCCTACGCGATTAAGGTTCATTTGTTGAGTTAGGATTTCCAGGATACGAACTCAGAACTGTTCATATTGTTTGTCCCGACATTCAAACAAAGATTCTGTCTGTTAAAGAGTGATTACATTGTCCTCCATTTGATTACAGCAGAATGAGATGTACAACTAACGGCAATCAAACACTTGGAACCTCGCAAATCAAAAGACGGAAGAAGTGGGGGAAGTGATCAATTGTTAAGAGTCAAGGTGGTACGGCAAAACACGGATATTTATGGTCATTAGCGTTAGCTACAATATCATTATGATCCTGCCAATCTTCAAGGAGGCAAGTAATGTTTTCATCCAAGCGTAGCATGCCGAGCTGATATTCTATAAAGCTCAGTCATGTTCTGATTGACTGGAGTCTCTTTGGCCCCCTTAGAGCCTCAAGAAGGTTCGCCGTGCCTATCAAAGCTGTTCTAACAGTTTAAAAGAAAGATCACGGCCACCTGTGTATGAACAGGTATATTCGACATCTACTAAAAGGAGGAAATGAATGTTGGAACGTCGTCATCAGCCTTGAAACAGCAAGTAGGATGGAACGCTGCAGGTCATTGCTGAATAAATGTGCTAGTACAATTCGGGCAGCTCACAAAACATATGAAAAACAGTTAACCCAATCTGTTTCCTCACTGACTACGATACTTAATATGTTGCTTGGCCAAGGTGAGTTACCTACGAACTGGAAGGGTGAAATTTTTACTTTAAAACATAAAACAGGATCAAGACAACTTCTATCAAAATACAGACCTGTTAGCCTTGTTGAATTATGGTCTACTATGATATTAGTACTGCTCTAATAATAAACATAATCCTAAAATTGTACATTTCACATGATGCAACTACCTAATCTGTACGGTCTTACGTGGAAGTCACATTATTATCCACACCAACTCACCGCGTCGTAACAATCATTAATATGTGATGGATAATGCACTTAGGCTAGAGACAGAACAATATATTTAATATGAATAAAAGGTATATAACAACATTCAATGATAGCCACGCTTGCAAGGCCGAGCCATGCCATCCGACCAATTCGAATTCACTCTGTTCATTGTTACCGCCTTCTCCATCGCTGGGTTTTTCTCCGAATTAAATGTTGAATATCTATTTCCCCAACTGTTCCGTGTTCAGCTCTGAAGATTGTGTAGTTAGGGCTCATTGCCACTACAACCCCACCAGTGTCCTATTTAACGTGGATGCTGCGACTGATGGGAAGTAAATGACGTGGAAGCATTGAAGAGAAGGGAAGATAGCCAAAAGTAACATGCGTTTAGTTGGAAAGTTCATGGTGGACTCAAATTCTGCGTGTAAGATTATTCCGCCAAAGTCCCAAAGTAAGACAATATTTAACCCTACTGTAGATGGGAAAATTTCGGCCTCATCGAACATTGCCATGAGTCATTCGCTCAACTCCCATAACTCTGTTACAATGAAAACTAATCGTAAGATGCTAGTAGTTAATGAGCAAGATCTGACACCACGGTTGAAAGCCGTGAACACTACTTCAAAAGAAGTTAAATGCCTTCCTATTTTAATTATTTGGAATCTAGAGGAGTCGAAGGACAACGACCCTGCTAAAAGACATGCACACGATCTGCAGTTAGTGGAATCTGTGATCAGAAATGTACTACCTGAAGAGGTTTGAGGGGCACATATCACGAAAGTAATACGACTCGGTGAATGGGTTTGGGGCGAGACCAACCAAGAAGGATGTTGAAGTTGGTTCTCGGGAATTTCGAGGAAAGAGATATAATATTGAATAACGCACAAAAAACTCGTTATTCAACTATTCATATCCGACCAGATTGGCCGCTTGAGGATCGAATCAAGTGGAAGAGTGCTCTTACGGAGTTAAGGACACGAAAGTTAAGTGGTGAAAATAACCTTACGATTAAGGGTTTTCGGGTAGTCAGATCTTGGAAGTCAATGCTTCGGAGGCCTGTGTGGGTAGGACGAATGATTCCCAAAACACCTTAAATGTGTGCTACGCGAACCCCCGTAGTCTTAGAAATAAAACGTCTGAGCTAAATCTGATGGTGGATGAATGAAGTCCCGATATATTTGTTGTTGCAGAAACTTGGTTCATCGTAGATATAGAATGTTCTCCCATCATTGCAGGCTATATCTGTATTATAAACGATAGAGTTTTACGTCGCAAGGGGGAGGCGTAAGGTTATACGTTAGGGATCACTTTCGCATACAATCAATCATATAGGAGACGCATGTTAATTGTACATGTGAGGTAGCATGTTGTAAAATTAAATCTGGAAATCGGTTGGTGACTATATGAGTAGTATATCGTAGTCTGTGTTGTCTCGCCGACGACCTTATCTTAAGACACAACTACTCTTAGAGTAAGGCAGAATGTTGTCTCATCACTGGGGACTTCAACGCACCGCATATCAACTGGATAGAGCTTACAGCTCCAAGTGGAGGTTTTGATAGCGACCTTCTATCAACTGTTATTCAGAGTGCGCCCGTACAATGTATCGCGAAACCGACACACATTGAATTGAAACATGATCCGTCACTGCTGGAGCTTGTCCTCACCCACTACTGTGAGGATGTCTTTGATATTCAGCACCTTCCCCCACTAATGAACAGTGTTCACGTTGCACTTTACTTTAGGTTTACGACACATGGTATGCAATTTATATCTGCTCCACCCCGTCCCAATATCTGGCGAACTAATGTTCCGGCAATCAGGGACTGTGCTATCACGACCGATTGGTCGGTCGTCGCGAATGGATCGACCGAAGACGAATGGAATAAGTTTAAGGCTACATTGGAGTCCGTAACACCACTGTTTATCCCATGGCCGGCACGTAAGCTATCACATTGCCCTCCATGGATTAATAACGAAACCTGGAAGCCTTTAAAGTGTAGGAAACACTTATGTGACTTATTCCTGTCGACGGGACATGAATAATTTAAGTGTAAATATAAAAAAATACGGAATATATGTAAAAAAGTCATAGGTAAATACTGAACGTTTTACGAAATACAGTGGCATATGATAGCTGTACTTGCCCGAAACGATTGTTTTTGTATGTTAAAAAGCGAATAAAACGTATTGATGGTATTCCCCCGTTACTGTTGTACAAAATTTAGATTTACTAGCTGAATTTGATTTGGCAAGAGCTGAGACTTTTTCACACTGTTTTGGCTAAGTTTACTCTATGTGTATAGTTATAAATACTTGCCCCAATCAAACGAAGATACCAGCCATAGGATCTATACACGTGACTGAGGGAACTCTTTTATGTAGAAGCTCTCGCGCTTCAGAATAACAGGTGTTGTACAGGAATGGATAGGAAACTTCTTATGTGATCGCAGTCAGAGAGTGAGGGTCAGTGGAACGCTATCCGATTGGAAGCCGGTCAAAAGTTGTGTACCCCAAGGCACCATCTTAGGCTTTCTGCTATTCCTTCTCTACGTTAACGAATTATCGCTATTATTTAAGTCGTCGGCATTAATATTATCGCAGCGTGTAGGAAGAAAATTAGTGACGGAACTGTATTCGAATTGGGATTACCAATTGTAGCGTGGCGTCGAGTTGAGATTAACTGTGAACACCGCTACCAAGAAACACTTGCCAAATAGATCAGAAGGCGTAAGAAGCTCGTTCCAAATGACTCCATAAAATCCCCGAGAAGCCGAATATCAGAAAGCAATTAATGGACCAAGTCGAGGTTTATTTGCTGGCGATCTCGTGGCATCGAAAGGATACCGAGATCGTGCCAGGATACAACCTTGGTTACAGAAGGTAACCGGATTCGCGCGAAGTTACAATCAAAGTGTAAGTAAAAGAATGGAAGCACAAAATAGCTGTCATTAGCACAGTCAAACAAAAGCACGTTAAAACAAACACTGGTACAGTTGGTTATAATAATAATTGTTTTTATTAAACCAGTCGTGTTCTTGTGATAAACGTGAGTCACTACAGAACTTTCTAAACATCCTTACGATGAGCGCTTAAAACGCCTAAACCTTTCGTATTGTAGGACGCGAGATGACCTTATACTGGCATTTCATATCCTTAATTACGGTTCGTGTGTTAATATGTTTTATCTTTTTGCTCCCTTCAGCACTAATATTCTCTGAGGTGATAACAAGAATGTTCACAAGCTGCAATCTAATAAACTTAAAGTGGGGTTCCGTTTTTCTCATCGAGTGGTCGGTGGCTGAAAAGCCTCACTCGAACAAGTGGTATCAGCCCCATCTGTGAATATTTCAAGGAGAAGCTGGACCTCCACTCGGAGGCAATCTATCAGGATTAACCTACTATCCTTATTACCGAAGACTAAAGAAGCTGGACCTCTTTACTCTGTCCTACCTGTCTGATTTTGGACGTGACATATCCTCTCTTTTTTCCTAACAGGTCAGGACAACTCAGTGGACATACCAGGCAAGTACAAAAGCCAAGAACTAACAAAATACTCGTGACATACAGGTTTTCACAACGAGTCAACAATTCCTGGAACCTGTCACCCGAAGAAATCGTGTCCGCCCCTTCAACTAACTCATTCATGAGAAGACTAGACACTCAGAAGTTTACTAGGATACGACTAAAACAGGCCGTGTGCCTTTCCTTCTCAATACACAAAGCTGGATCTGAATATGATGAACCAATCGTTTTCCGTCAGTTTGACCTTCAGATGCTCGCAACCTCCACCATATCGTTGCGAAGAGGTAAGGTGTTTCCGTGCTTTTCATACATTACTGGGATACTTATCATAATAACTAGAAATTGTTTGTGGAGTAAATTTTCACAACCGAACTTTAATTTCTATGGCATGTACACCTGCCAACACTATGTATCAACCGGTCATACAGAAAATCGAGAACTACGACACTATCAGCGAGCTCATTTGTCAAAGAATGCATAGTGGGATCTGGTTTGTATATAGAAAAAAGTTGATTTTAAATTCTTAGCCGTTCATGATTTAAAAATATCACTATAGCTAAAGTTTCACATAAGCATGTTGTCTAAAGTAACTTGATTCGTACGTGTGGAATAACGTTATTCCGACAATCGGATTGAAGAAATTAATAAGTAATATAGATTCACACCTTCAGATAGGTGTGTTTTCACTGTTCAAAACGCCACATAATATTCTTGGACCAATGAAGAGCATATTTGTCCTATATTTCACCGCATCAACGTTTGACCTACGCTAGCCCTTCCAGTAAATGTTGCTGTAGCATTTATTCGAACAGAATATTAGATTGACCCATTCTTATTACTACACAGGATGTTCCTGAACCTGATGCTGCTTCAATCTAGTGGTGCTAAAGTTTCAGTTTGGAAAGGACAGGAGACTAGATGGCCTGGTTTAGTCCTGGCAATTGTGGTCTCTCAGTTGATCTTTCTTTTAAAAGCGTTGGCAGATAAAGCTTCAATCACTTGTTGAGGGAATCAATTTCATTCGATCATGGTTCGATTGGAAAGTCGATAGTCATCTGACCAGTAATTTGTTCTGGGTTTGTGCACTTTCTCAGTGTCCTCGTAAATTCTGTTTTAAAAGACAAAACGTGAGGGCATATCAAATACAAATTAACCTCTGGTTCTCCTATGTGACAATGGAAATATGTTTGGTTTAGCCAGTCGAGCATCGAACGGGAGCTTTGCTATCCTGAGAATCAGCTAAGTTGTGTGTTTTTTTAAATAGTAGTTTTGATACGTAATAAAAGATCAAAACAACAAACTTAAGATGGCTGTCTACTAATCCCGCTGTAAGAACAACACTAATGGTGTACCAATTGGTGACTCAGTAACGACAGAATCACAATTTCCATAGGGCTCTCTGCTGAACAGAAAACACACCTTCATCGTGCATCTGAGAATCAATTCTTACAAAGAGGTATCTCAGTATCAGACTGAACTCGATGTCGCTTAAAAATTCATGCAAACAGCTATGGAAAAAGCAGCAACATTCATTAGAGATTTGAACCAAAAGGGTCACGAGAAACCAGTGGATTTCTAATAAGTCTATTGCACTGATAGATTCTCGTCAACCCATTCCGTCAGGCTCTAAGCATGATGAAAAGCGTAAGCAAATCAGTTCTAGGTTAACCAAAAGTCTAAGGAACGACAGTGAGCAGTGGAGAGCAACGAAAGCAAAAGAGAAGGAAAAGGAAGCGACTGTAGGTAACGCCCGATAGCATTTCAGACTAATAAAAGAAATAAGAATTAAGAGGCCAAATGTGAGACGATCTCGGGAAAAGACTACACTCTTATCTGCTCTCAGCCTGCTATGTTAGGAGAGATTACGAGTTCACCTAATCTAAGAATGAACGACACAAAGATGGCTAAGTTAGCTATTGCGACGTGTCCCAGCCCAGCTAACTAGGGAGAGAAGTCCAAGTTTGGAAGAAAGAAGTATATTCCTCAAGGGGCCAGAAACACGAACAACCACGACAAGTCTACTCGGAAATACACTGATTTATATATTGATTCATACACCCGTTTTTGATTAATAATTAGAATAAAATCACATATATGAACAATACTTAGTTATAAGAGATCATATGCTGAGTATAGTTCATGTTAACGTAATAATATATATTTTAAAGAATAAAGTATCATACGGGGAAACAAAAATACTATACTGAGTAATCATCACATTGAATTAAAACAGAATTAATTTTGAACAGAAATCATAATGAATAAATCAATCTAATTTTGACTTTTCATCCCGTCATATCGCAGCCCAGACGTTTAGAATGATGGGCGGAGCACTTTAAGGAGCAGTTAGGCTGGCTTTTAGCCACTCTACAGCTACCCACCATTCCCAAACAGCCTGATTGGAAAGTTAAATTAGGCCTCAAACTCTAATTGGATTTCAAAAAGCTATAGCTAATCTTAAACGAGGAAGAGCAGCTGGTCCAAATAAAATGTCTCCAGAGGTCTATAAATATGTTGGTTCAGTTTAAGCGAATTTTCAGTAATTGGTCTCCTACCAGGTGGTATACTTATCGACTTATAATACGCAGATGACATAGTCTTGTTTGGTGAAGACGTTGATAAAGTGCAGAGTCTTTTGGTAGCACTGAGCAACAATGCTAGAATGTTTGGGATGCATCTAAATGAAAATTGTTGCTTCAGAACTGGCCTGCATCAACACTTGAACTAAGGATAGGGAGTGAAGTAGTCGAACGCGTTGACAACTTCACTTATATTGGAAGTTCGATCAGACGTAGTGGGTTGGTGTCTGATGAAATGTGTGCACGACTCAGAAAGCTTGTTTGGTTTTCGCCAACTTATGCCACCTATGGCGAAGGGAGATATCCGTCTATCAATTAAAGGACGAGCAAACTGCTCAGTAGTTCGTTCTATTCTATTTTACGGCTGCGGAACGCGGCTGTTAAAGGTAGAGGATACTCGTAAGGTGCTATTATTTGATCACAGATGTCTTGGAAATATTGCTCGCATCTGCTGGGATCACTGGGTAATAGTGAGGTCAGACTCAGGGTATTAGGGATTGTCAGTCAGTTGATGAGGTTGTGAATCTTTATCGACTGAGATGGTTGAGCCACGTGTTACGGATGCCTGAACACCGATTACCACGACGTATAATGCTGACTAGTATTGGGGATGGTTGGAAGAAAGTTAGGATCGGCCAAACAAAAACGTGGCATCAATGCTTGAAGTCACTAAGTTGTGTTCTGAGCCATGTTGGTAGATACAAACTACTTGGTTGTGGTCCGTGTGACTATTGTATCGAATGGTAGGAGACTGTGAGTGACATGGCTGAGGATTGTTCACAATGGTATAGGTGTGTACATCCTTTGTCTTCCCTTAAACCGTGAAACTAAAATTGCTTTATACCTTTATTTCTACGAACTAATTATTCCTTCCTGTATTATATCCTTATACAATCTTTTATATATTAGTACCATTTAAGTAACTGCTTCGATGAATTTTTTGTTCATCTTGTTGTGCTAATGAGGTATGTAAACTTAGACCGATGTACTCATGTGACTGGTCGTAAGTTGTAGCTGACTGAATGAAGATCAGTGGATCTGTGTTGGACATATCTCCTAGGAAATGAAATCAAGTCTTTTTGTTTAAAGCTATTTGGCGATTGTGTAGTTTGTCGCTCATCTTTCCTGTGGGGTCGTTTTCAGGAGATGGTTTCCGGAATTTATAATGCTCACTAAGTAATGTATTTAACTTTTCTATATAGACTAGTTTATTGACGAGGAGTACGGATCCCATGTTTTTGATAATGGTTGAGTTTTCACTTTTTTAGTTTAAGGTTCTTTGTGTTTTTGTTTTTAAAAACCTACAAAAGTCAACTTAATCCTTTATTGACCCTCTTAGTCGGTGTGGTTGACCAAAAAACAATATATGATTAACGTTAATGTAATATGAATTTGCAATTATAGAGCGAAGTCGGTAGATACTGGACAATAAATACATTCGATTGTTGTAACAGAGCATTGATTAGGATAATGATTGAGGTACCAACGGAGATTTGAATAATAGGTTGTGTGACGGCGACTAGGGATTGAGAACAAAAGTACGTAAGGCAGCACGTGTATCAAGTGAGCAGTAATCGTTATATTATTCAGATGATGATGACGTTCTACATAATACCCGGAACAATATTTTGTATTGAATAACCATAATTGTACAATTAAAGCGAAATCATGAGAGATTTGGTCTACATTAACAGTTTCTACATAGCTTTCTCTTTGAGTTTCCAGATGGAACACTGATACAAACGTAAGTGGAAAAATACAAAATAAAACTCAAATATCGTAGTGCTCTTCTGTGAGAAAATTCTGTGTAAATATGTGGGTTTGGTGTGTGCGTACTATGCTAATGCACAGAATTATTGTGCATGTTGAGTATGGAGAAAGGGGAAAATTCAAATAATAATGTACAATAATAATAATAAACTCTAGTCATACATGCGAAAAATCGATGTGATACTTAACGATGAAAAATAACCAGAACTACGGACATGTTTAGCTAAGATGCATATATTTGAATTTATATGATGGATAGCTAACCAAACAGAATATAAGTAATTCTATGACAATTGCGTATGGATAAAAAATTTGTTAGTCAGTGCAAAGAGAAAAAAGTTTAACGAATTTTACAAAATTAATCAGCAAAATAAGTACAACATTTAGGTCTGTTTATTACTCCACCAAAACGAGTTACATATGTAGGGTTTAGGGTTGGATTGTTGTTGGTTTCTGGCGTAAAGGTCCCCTAACTGAACCTTCTTCCATCTAACTAACATTATTCTATCATAAAATTCAATATTAAGGGGTATTACTTGTAAATGAGTCACATCAAAATCAACACTCGACAAATTATGAATAGTAACAACTTAGACTTGTCGGGAGTTAAGGTCTTGGAGTTCGGTATTAAAGCTCTGAACTAACTAGATACGATCTTTGTCTTTGCTGACGTTGATTGCTTGGATCATTTATTCTGAAAATTTTCGCTCCTAGTATTTAGGGAGTTTCTCAACTACTTAGGATCTCTCAGCAATATTCTTCGTCAATTTAATAATATACAATTTGATTAAGTCCCTCTGTTTCAGAGCTTAAATTTTTAATGTTCCTCCGTTTTGTCGGATTCTGTTTCGATATAGTGCTTTTCACCATGTTCTCGAATGTCGATTCTTTCCTATATATCTCTAAAATTTATAGACATCTTCGCTCAACTGAGTTTTGTGCTATATATCAAATATTCCTATCAAGATATACTTGTTTGTAAAACCTATACATCAGTTTCGAGCTATAACGAGGAACTAACTCAAAAGAAACATTTCTTCACCCGACTTGTATAAAAATAATGATTATATTGAGATCTCTTGATGTAGTAATCTAGTTTGGGATGAAGTATATGTTCTTTTTCCTGTCCTTGCCATCCTTTTTGGATTAAGTCATGTAAATCTGTATGGTTTTCCCATCCCATTTCTATCATCTATATTCAGTGCATGTTAGTGATATTTTAGTAGTTATTTTCCATTGTGTTTCACATATCATTCATTTACTGAAATTATACAACTTTCAAAGCCATCGTTTTTTGATAAGGCTAAGGCTTTACTCAGAAGACTCAATTTCTAAAATACTTTTTAGATTATATATCGTTTTGCGCGGAATCCTTATAAATTGGCAATGACCGTACTGGGTCTAGATAAAATTCTTTTAAGGAGTTTCGCTCCATGGGAACCTTTATTTCTGAAAGATACTAAAGTTGTTGTGGACGCTGACGACTTAGTTGGTTTTCTACATGATAAATTTTCTACAGGACTGTATGGTGGTGAGAATCTTTCTTTTTACATGGTGGTACGTTCGTTCTTTTTGAATTTGCAACGTTCGAATGTGGAGCCGTACTTCATTCTAAGGGGTTGCTGTGACATGAAAGTAAGGGCTTTTTAACAAAAATTAACATAACTCCTAATCCTTACTTACACGTTGCGAATTGCTTTTATTTATACTGTGAACTTATATCGTTCTCCAGTATCCTGGATAAACATCTCAAGATTAATACAATTGTTTGTTTAATTTGTGTAGTGTTCCCATACTGAAGTACTTGACAAGTTTGTTTTATTAAAACACATCAGCTGTGCCTTTCCTAAATCACAATTAGGAATTTCAAGCTATCTTGGTCAATCTTCATGTAACTTCTTCGAAACACCAGTCCGAAGAAGTATTTTTAAAATATTCACTTCTGTATATCGTCAGCAATTTAACTGGTATTAACGTCAGATACTTCTATGTAGCCTAAGACTGAGTAATCCGATTTGTTAGAAATCATCCAAACCATAGGTTCAGGATTATATAGGAACAGTGGTGTGATTTTTTTTATCATAAGCATAATTTCATAGTCACTTAATTTCAGAGATCTCTTTAGAATACAATAATAGTGGACGGTATATTTTTTCAAGTTCTCAATGTTTTAAGTGTAAGCAATTAAATGGGAACAAGTAAATTTAGGTGATTTAACGAGAAAAAGTTCATTAGGCTGTAGCATTTCCGCAGTCAACTAGGCTTGTTTTTGTCTGATCAAATATAAAAAGTCACACGACCTTTCTTGTTTAAGTCCTTTGTTAGTGATTCGTCTACCATTCGTAAGTAGTACATTTATAAATGGTGTTCTGCCACCACATGAACTTAATGGCCTGACGAAATTGATAGAATTACTTAATCTCTAACTGATCAGTATTTTCTTTACAAAGGATGAGTGTGTCATTCATATATTGAGATTAAAATGAAGACTTTTTATCCAACTGTGCACGTGACCTGTTTTCTGGTTTATCTAAAAAGATATCCGTTAACGTGAGACCCTACACCAAACCCATTTCTACTGCATTCAGTTGTTTGTATATTCCTCCGGTAGACATGACGTTCACATTCATGGTTCATTTTAGCACATTTATTTGGGTTCCAATGTGTATTTCAGTCTCTCCAATTTGGCTTGATATCTAAAAAAACTGTCCATAGTTGGAACATTTGTATGTAATGATCTCACATTTAAAGATAGCAATAGTATGTCTTCTCATTCGGAGCTCGTTATTATTCCGAAATACGGTGTATAAGGAAGGAAACTAATTTTAATTTCGCATATCGATGTAAGGTAATTTTTATTAAGTCAATTTCAATGCATTCTCGTTGAACTAGAGTAAATTCTACTCATTAACTTTCAATGCATTTCCAATTGTAATCAGTTATTTGACTCTCAATCAATTTTCTATATATTGGTTATCTTATATTAATTTTGTGCTTAGTGATTATTACTTGGTCGGTAAAATTCTGAAATTAATGGTCATTGGTTTGACATATAACTAAGTTAACTTGATTGTAAATCAGTCTTCTTTAGTCTCTTTCGATGAATTTTTCTTATCAAAAGTTTTCTTTTGGAATAGCTGTTGCATAATATGTCGAAATTATCACTGCTCTCAGTCCATAACAATACCATACAATTCACTCTCCTCCGTCCTCTTTTTTCTTGGTCTATCTGTAGATTAGCGCGTTAAATGTATTTCATTCCCAAAATATTTCATGTTAGACTTCTAATATTGCTTTGTTGTCTTATTTACCACACAACTGTCTAGTCTAAGTATAATATGCTAAATTAATTCTGGGAGTATAATCACTACAGTCATTTGCATTTATAAGACCTATGCGACACTGGTTTAACTTGGATTCATGTTAATAAGAAGAGAATAAAAACATGGATTCTTTTAAATTACTAAACGTTTCAATGAGTAATGAACCCTATGGTTGATACACAAACGGTCTCCAGTTGTGCATGGTTATCGTTAAGGATGAGTAACTCGATGTGTCAGTGGTCTAACCATACAACAATGCAGCACAGATATATAGGTTAACGTTGTCCTTTTTCGTAAAACTTCAGGGAAAAATTGATCAGAGAAACCACACTTTCAGTGGGTCATCATCAACGCAGTACCTTAGATATCTAAGAAATAAAATTGTTATGATTAAAAGATAAACTAAATTCCAAGGTACCTAAACTCACTACATATAGAAGTAAACAAAACGAGTATTTCTCAAAAAGATGAGAAAAAAATGTGTTTGTGGGTCATAAAGCCTGTCATCATTTATCAGAAGCATCTATCATCAGGATATACATCAAACAAATCAAGAGTGGGAAAGCAGAAAGATCAGATGACATACCACCTAAAGCACCGAAGTCAGACAGGGGTAACTGCAAACATGCTTCACGTTCTATTCAAGAAGATTTGGGAAGAAGAATAAGTGTCGATGGACTGGACAGAAGAATACCAGGTATACCAAGATATCAACGGGAGGTGATCACAGAAAGTGTGAGAAATACAGAGGCGTCACACCATTATTGGTATCAGGAAAAGTTCCCAACAGTGTTGTTGAATCGAATGAAAGATTCAGAAGACTCTCAACATCGTGATCGGTAGGCTGGATTCCGTAAGGATCGGTTGTGCACAGACCGAATCACGACACTACGGATCATCGTTGAACAATCAATTGAATGAACTCGTCATTATACATTGTCTTCCTTGACTACGAGAAAGCGTTTGACAGTGTGTATAGGAGAATTTTATGGACCCTTATTAAACACTGTGGTGTATCTGAGAAGATCGTAGATATCATACGGAATTCGTACGACAGACTACACTGTGGAGTCGTGCATGGAGGACGGCTGACAGATGCATTGCAAGTGAGGACCGGAATCAGACAAGGCTGTCTACACTCTTCCTTTCTCTTTCTTCTGATGGTTGATTGGATTATGAAGACCTCCACATTTCAGGCGAAGCACGGATTAAAATGGACAGGTTGGATGCAACCAAACGACTTGGACTTCGCAGACGACCTGGGTCTTCTATCCTATACATTTGAATAAATTCAGGTAAAGACAACTTGTGTAGCAACAGCTACTGCAGCAGTAGGCCTCAGCATACACAAGGGAAATGCATGATCCTCAAATACGACATTTAGAACACTAACCCAATCATACTTGATGGAGAAGCTCTGGAAGAGGTGGCAACTTTCACGTATCTAGGTTGCATCATTGATAATCTAGGAGGATCTGATGCGAATGTGAATGCAGGGATCGGCAAAGCAAGGGAAGTATCCTTACAATGAAAGGATATGTGCAACTCAAACAGTTGTCAGCCAATACCGAAGTCTCACTTTTCAACACAAACGTCAAGACAGTTCTGTTATACGGAGCTGAAACTTGGATAACTACTACACACATTATCAACAGAGTATTTGTAAACAGTTGTCTATTCTAGATACTCACTGTCCGTTTGTCGTATGCCATCGACAACAAGCTACTGTGGGAGATAACAAACTTAACCCCATCTAAAGAGGAAATTAGGAGAAGGCGCTGGAGGCGGGATAGCTGGGTTGTAATAAGAGAACAGTGGCGACGAGAAAAAAGGAAAACAAATTCAAGGTGCCCATATCAGGTGACCAGCTCAACAGTATCCCATCCCCGTCGCCACTGTTATAATTATCTCTTATTACAACCCAGCTATTCCTATTGCTTAGTACTCTCAGACACCAATTCACTAGACAAGTCCCCAAATCAGAACACAGTTGAGCAGGAAAGAGATTATATTCCGAATAACAAGGTTAGATGAAAGAAAGAAGCGCAGTAGGAAAAACCTTAGTATATTTATAGTTTTTACATGAGAAGATTCTAGAGTGTTCTCCAAGAATCTGCTAGCGCTGATTGGACAAGTGTCAGCCAATAATCGTGCGCCAAAGCAATCGTACATTGAGCATGCTTTGATCCAATGTCCAGCTAACAATAGGACATACTTTGCGGAAATCACCAAACTACATCACGATGCAATCCCTGACTCGGAATCGTGAAGGGAAAAGGAAAAAAAGACCAGAGGACAGACTGTGTTGGAAATTGGAGGAAGACATGAAGATAATGAATAGAAATTGGAAACAACTAGAGAGGAGAGTCCAAGACAGAGTTGGATGGAGAATGCTGGATGGTGGCTTACGCTACTTCATCAGGGTTATCAGGAGTTAGTAAGTACCTAGAATGAACATAACGAAGCCACTAAAAGCATCTACGAATCTGTTATGCAGAATGGGAAACAGAACTAACTATCTAGAAGATTCAGGTCGTTTGGTGTAACTCATTTTATTCACAATCTTTTGGTTTTATAATTAATTATACAATGCCACTTCCTAAATTGGATCGAGTAGATTCAAACTTGTTTTATAATGTTTTCTTAGCCTGTAATTTTTTGATATCTTTTGCTAGATCTTGCCGTTTTAAAAAGACCCCTTACCTGTCCATAAGTATTTGACTTTTAGTTCGTAATTGACAATGCATATCAGGGGGCTATGATTATTGTGGATTGTAGTCTGTAGTGAGAAGCAAGTGATAATCTTAAAACTTATATTAATAAAAGTAATAACGATAATTATACTCGTAGTAATAATAATGGTAATTAATCAAAAGTACTTTATCGATATCATACAGAACTCATATGATGGATTACACTGCAAAATCGTGCATGGAGGACAGTTGACAAAGTCGTTCAAAGTTAAGACCGGTGTTAGGCAAGGTTGCTTACTCTCACCCTTTCTCTTTCTCCTGGTGATCGACTGGATCATGAAGACGTCAACGTCTGAAGGAAAGCGCGGGATACAATGGACATCTAAGATGCAGTTGGATGATCTAGACTTCGCAGACGATCTGGCCCTTCTATCCCACACGCAACAACAGATGCAGGAGAAGACGAACAGTGTGGCAGCAGCCTCAGCAGCAATAGGTCTCAATATACACAAAGGGAAAAGCAGGATTCTCCGATACAACACAGAATGCACCAATCCAATCACAATTGACGGAGAAGATTTGGAAGATGTAAAAACCTTTACGTATTTGGGCAGCATCATTGATGAACAGGGTGGATCTGATGCAGATGTGAGGGCGCGGATCGGCAAAGCAAGAGCAGCATATTTACAACTGAGGAACATCTGGAACTCAAAGCAACTGTCAACCAACACCAAGGTCAGGATTTTCAATACAAATGTCAAGACAGTTCTACTGTATGGGGCAGAAACCTGGAGAACTACAAAAGCCATCATCCAGAAAATGCAGGTGTTTATCAACAATTGTCTACGCAAAATACTTCAGATCCATTGGCCGGACACTATTAGCAACAACGTACTGTGGGAGAGAACAAACCAGATCCCAGTGGAGGAAGAAATCAGGAAGAAGCGCTGGAAGTGGATAGGACACACATTGAAGAAAGCACCCAACTGTGTCACAAGACAAGCCCTCACATGGAATCCTGAAGGTCAAAGGAAGAGAGGAAGACCAAAGAACACATTACGCCGAGAAATGGAGATAGACATGAGAAAAATGAACAAGAATTGGATGGAACTAGAAAAGAAGGCCCAGGACAGAGTGGGTTGGAGAATGCTGGTTAGCGGCCTATGCTCCTTTGGGAGTAACAGGCGTAAGTAAGTAAGTAAGTAACTTTATCGATGGGGTTTGTGGAGTTAAACCATGTTGTAAACGAGACACTAATTGACCAAAAGTATTGGATTATAGTTGGATTATAACGCAGAGTGATTAAAGTCAGGAGTCTGAATTCATTCTATTGTAATTATGTGGTCTAAAGATATTCTAACCGCCATCAAGTATTCGGCTCTATGCTTCTTTAGATCGTAGATACTAACTGTTGAGGAATTCCAAAAATTGATAAAATAGCTGGTCAATGCTTCATCGTTTTCAATAGTTTTCCAGCTTATATCAGTTCGCTAAAAAAATAGTCAATTTCAGGATAAATCTCCATTCAAACACTTAATTAGTACGGAAAAAACGCTCGTCATTGGAAGGTAAATTGAAGTATCTTATGTCATTACTAAACTAATGCTTATGACTAATGTTGTGTGTAATGAAGTTATTTCAAAGACTTCCTATATTGTATGGCGAGAAAATTGATTTTTTAACGAGAAATTGTTGAAAGTTGCATTTCCTTAGTCACAATAAATCAATCCAAACTGTGTTTTCTTATTGATTAAGCATACTTACTCTCTTATTATACTACATAATGTTTAACTGACAACGGTAAAAAGGTCTTTTCAGCGAGAATGAAATGTTTTAAAAAGATTACTATTATTAATAAAAATGAAACGAAATTCTTGTTATTGTTAATCATATAAATAATTCTATTTGTTATTCATTTCTTATTAACAGAATCAAAAATTAAAGCATAAACAGAAGAAAGAATTTAACGTGTTATCACAACTTATTACAGCCGTAAAATTAAATGCACTTGATAAAATCCCCAAAGTACTCAATTTATCAGCTAGGGATGTATTTTTGTATGCTTTAAATGAATTCCCATGGAAGTGTATTAGAGTTAAATCTTTTCCTACAACTGTTTGTACCGCTATTGCTATAATTTTACAATGTCCAGTTATTGGTTTATCATCTGATTATTATATACTTATGTCAAAGAGACAAAATATTCTTAATAGTTTGGTTTCTCAACCATATTCGAGTCCGACATTTCTTACACTTCATTTGGCCAATCTAAATTTGAGTGGTTCTAGTAAAAGTAGTGGTGAAAAAGAAATGTTGTTTCACAAATTTATTCCTAAACTTTCAATTTTAGCGAGATCTTCAGATTTTCACTTGCCTCTTTTAGCTGTGTTAGTTGGTACAGATGTTGTGTCTAATGTAAGACTTCCATTAGAATTACAAGAAAAATTACAAACAAACAATTCGACAATAAATTACTCACAACATCGATTATCTGTACTCCTTGAATGGTTTTCACAGTTCGATTCAAATTCAATTAAACCATTAGAAGATGTTATTAACTGTTATCCAGTTGAACAGCGCACTTCTATAATAAACGATATGATACACGGCATTTCTCGTTTTGTTTGCCCTCTAGAAGAAACTAAAAGTGTTATGAGTCTATTGAGTGATAAAAGTTACTTTAATGATACTTCAACAAATACATCTACAACTATTAAATCATCATTCAGATCTAGTGGAAGTGTTGAGGATGTGATTAATTCACTAAAAGGTACCATTGTAGCATACTTATGGCATGAAGACTACACAAATGGGTGGCCTCCTCGTCTTCTTTATAATTTCAGGAAGGGAATATTATTTTCAAAACCATCTATTTATTCATCTCGTGGTGTTTTTCTTCTCACTGCAGTTGAAGATCCAAAATGCCCATTCTCAGTTCATGAAGCGTCATTCTTAATTCGAAGACTACACTATCAAATTTATGTGTCATTGGAACGCAGTTTAAGTATGGAAAATAAACTTGTCGGATTAAATCCTGATGTTATTGAATATATGAGACAAAATGATAAATTAGTGATGTATCAAATCCCAGTCAAATATATTCCTTTAGATTTCAACAAAGTTAGCACAGATGAAGTTATTAAAGAAAATCTGGGTTTCGTCAAACTACCGGAAAACAATTTAATCCCTAAGTTACTTTACAGTTTAGCAGTAGTCTTATCATTTTGGTTTCAACAATTAAAGTATACCTCTATTGAGATCCCTTCTGTGTTTAGTGAGTCGTCTGTTGGACTTGCTGTAGCTTCTTGTGCTGTCGCAAATATATACAACGATGGTTCGTCTATTAGTGAATTATGTGAATTTTATAATAATCTAAGCAGAATGCCTGATCAGTTGTCGATTTCAGGTAGCAATTCTACTAATTTCAGAATTGATATTGTACACAGCTTTAATGCTATACAGTCAACTTTTAACAGTTTTAAAGATTTGGTTACAACTCTCAACTGTCTTGTGCTAGAGAATAAACAGTCAAATTATTTCACTTTTGGACAGTCTTGGATACTGTTTCCCTCTGGAAAGCTGGTACATTTTTTAGCTACTCAGTTAGCTTCTTTAGAGCCCTGTGGTAGACGTTATTCAGTCATAAGAGTATGGCTTCCGAAACTTCTCTTTATTAAACAAAGAAATCCCGACGCAACATCTAGGCTGACCAAAGCGATAAATACTTTGATCACTTTTATTGATCTTTGTGATATGATTAAAATTAGTCTTCCATCATCTTTAGATTCATTTTATAGCATCCATGAATTAGAAAGCAATTATGTCCGTGAAACGATGCATACGGTTCCTAACCTATGTGATCGAAACAATACGAATCTAGTTAATAAACCAAGTAATTCAACATTTAATGTAATATTTCCTCGTGGCTGTCGAGAAAGAAGAGAAAACAGAACGAGTAACAAAAGGATTTATAACAAACCTTCAGCTGAAAATATTGTGCATAGTGCTCAAGTACGTTGTCTTTTCCAAAGTAATTTCCATTCAACATATGGAAAAACCTAGAACAGCGACTTACAAATCATCTAGAAACAATCTGTTAAGAATATTTTAGAAATCCTAATCCTGTTCACATGTAACAAGTTGTAGTACACTGATTTTTAATTAAGTAAGTACATTCTTTTTTGTGTTTGGATCATTAACAGATGTATCCATACTATCGAAGAACAGAATATCTCTATTTTTTACCTCATACTTTTCTAATCTTCATTTATTATGTATTCATGAGTCCATTTGACCGCTATACCTGTTGCTCTTTTTATATCTAATTTCATATATAACAGATATGATTTTTTTCAAAGAATTTAATTTAATACTATTTCCTATCTTCACTTGACTTTTCAGTCGGTTGATTTCAAGCAGTTTGGTATTTAGTACAAATATATATGGATCAGAGTCGCCGGACCTCAAATCAACAAGATAAGGAACAGTAGAGTAGAAGTAATAATATCCATTTTATTAGAAATCGAAATATGAAAATATAAATAATAGGAAGGAACGTACCTAAATATGAAAAATAATGGAATGACACTAGACTAAAAACTTATGAGATAAAGAATGAATGCGACTGTGTTACTACTGTCAGTTTCCTTATCGTGACTCAGTTACCTGGCTTCGATTTGATCATATGGTATGATTACAACGAAATAGATATCCCACCAACCCCTTTTTATATCTGCTGTCTTAATTCGCGTTAGTGAGTAACGGAAGAAGTAAAACACGAGAATGGCTTTTGGTATGTATATTTCATGCACTATTTACCGCAGATAGACAACGGGGGAAACGAGACGTAGAAGGCAAGGATTTCAACTCGATTTGATAAGGCAACATTCACCGTTTGCAGTCGGACAGAAAAAATAAGCTAAAAATGGGTTGTGAGCAGAATAAGTGGTAAACACAAAGTACGCTCATATAAGGACAGTCGACGTTATAAGCGAATAACTGACAAGGTCAAAATCTGTGTAGATAATGACTCAAAACGAATGAATTATTTGGTCTGTTCAAAAGCCCGAATAGCACATGTAGGCGTGTTACAGTGCTAAACGATATATGCGCCCATGTTACCCAACATGTAAAATTGTAATTTACAGTTATAGCACAGCCCCCCACTTATGTGGCTCAGGATAGTAGCCTATAAGTTCGTGGAATAATATCTTATATTGCTTTGACTGCTCTGATATTATTTCGAGATAATTCCTTTGGCTTCTCATATCAATTATCCTGATTCCGTTATAAAATAGATACTTACGCCTGTTACTCCTCGTGAAGGAGCATAGGCCGCTCACCAGAATTCTCCATCCAACCCTGTCCTGGGCAATCCTTTCCAGCTCCTTCCAGTTGTTATTCATCCTTTTCATATCTGCTTCTATTTCCCGACGTAATGTGTTCTTTGGCCTTCCTCTTTTCCGCCTTCCTTCTGGATTCCAAGTTAGGGCTTGTCTCGTGATGCAGTTTGACGATTTGCGTAGTGTATGTCCTATCCATTTCCATCGTCTTTTCCTAATTTCCTCTTCAGCTGGAAGCTGGTTTGTTCTCTCCCACAGAAGGCTGTTGCTGATGGTATCCGGCCAATGGATGTTGAGTATCTTGCGTAGACAACCATTCATAAATACTTGCACCTTCTTGATGGTGGTTGTTGTAGTTCTCCAAGTTTCAGCTCCATACAGTAGGACTGCCTTGACGTTGGTATTGAAGATTCTCACTTTGATATTGGTTGAAAGTTGTTTTGAGTTCCATATGTTCTTCAACTGTAGGAATGCTGTCGTTGCTTTGTCAATCCTCGCCTTTACGTCTGCATCTGAACCTCCTTGTTCATCGATGATGCTTCCCAGATATGTGAAGGATTCTACATCGTCCAGAGTTTCGCCATCAAGAGTGATTGGATTGCATTTCTGAGTTTTGAATTTGAGGACGTTGGTTTTCCCCTTGTGTATTTTGAGGCCTACTGATGCAGAGACTGCTGCTACACTGGTTGTCTTTATCTGCATTTGTTCATGTGTATGCGATAGGAGGGCTAGGTCATCTGAGAAATCCTAATCGTCTAATTGATTCTGAGCTGTCCATTGTATTCCGTGTTTTCCTTCAGATGTCGTGGTCTTCATAATCCAGTCGACCACGAGAAGAAAGAGGAAGGGAGAGAGTAGACAGCCTTGTCTGACTCCGGTCCCTACTTAGAATGCGTCTGTCAGCTGTCCTCCATGCACTACTTTGCACTGTAGTCCGTCGTATGAGTTCCGGATAATATTGACAATCTTCTCAGGAACTCCGTAGTGTCGAAGAAGTTTCCATAACGTTCTCCCATCTACACTGTCAAATGCCTTTTCATAATCAATGAAGTTGGTGTACAATGACGAGTTCCACTCAATTGACTGTTCGACCATGATCCGCAGTATCGTGATTCGGTCTATGCACGACCTGTCCTTACGGAATCCAGCTTGTTGATCTCGAAGTTGGGCGTCTACTGCACCTTTCATCCGGTTCAGCAAAACTATGTCAAAGACTTTTCCTGGTACTGACAGTAGTGTGATTCCTCTGTAGTTTTCACATTCGCCCAGGTATCCTTTCTTTGCAATCTTGATGAGGTGTCCCTCTTTCCAGTCCATCGGCACTTGTTCCTCCTCCCAAATCTTTTTGAATAGAAGGTAAAGTATCTTTCTAGTTACTTCGATGTCTGATTTCAGTGCTTCAGCTGGTATATTGTCGGAAAATAGATACTAATGATGTGAACAGCGTATATCACTAAGCCACAAGCAAAAAAACGTATTCGAGCAGTGATTTAGGCAACTAACATTTAAGTTAGGAAAAGGGATGTGTGCGTAGGCTGTCATATGTGATCAAGCATATATTTTCATACAGACATGATAATAATAATAACAATACCAACATATCAAATTGTTACTGTTTTTATTAAAAGTTTTGCAAATAAGTTAACTGAAGGGCTTGACAAAATTAAACAAATTTAAGTGTGGCAGTGGTGCTATAAGGATATTATAGTTCCAAGACTAACTTATTTGTACCTATTACATGTTCAAACGAAGCATTCTATGCTTCTGAGTCGTAAAAATCTTGTCTCAAGTGAATACTTTGGAAATATCATTGGTGAAAGGTTGACTTGTGTACCACTGTACCCTGGCTCAATGGTCTCTAGGTTGCGCGTTCGCATACGAGACCGTAGGACCTCGGTGCAATTCCTGGTTTCTTGAAACTGGATACCTATTACTTATTATCCCGTACCCAAACAAGACGACGGTCCATCACCCTCTGGTTTTCAGCGAACTTTTAACATATACTTCGGTTCGTGATCTTAGTAGTACTGTTTCCAGTTAGATCTTTGTCAGGCTTTACTCTAATGTACTGTTGATAGTCTATAAGTTAATGATAAGAAGAAAATGAATTAGATTGATAGTGTAATGACAGATGTATCTAGTATACTTATTATCTAATTATCAAATTTTTACTTACTTTGTTTAGTCATATACTCTATTTTGCTGTTATCACGGATTCATAAACTACCTTCACTTGTATAGTGTTTTCATATAAATATTACTGTATATTATAGTTAAACCTGTTAACGATCTAATTGAAAACAGTACTGCTCCCTTATATATAATGCTCTGATTTATACTATGGGATTTTTTAAAATGTATTTTTCTTCACGTAGAACTTTCTATAAGTATTTAATGTTAACAAGCATTACATTTTATGGATTGTATACAGCTGCTTAACAGTTGTATCCTTATTTTGAAAGAAAATTTAGTGCTCGTTTTTCGGAGTCATTCTAGTATGCGACTGAATTAGTAATTTAAAAGAACTATTCCTTTTCAAGAGTATAATTTAAAATACGAAAGGGAAAAGTAAAGAGGCACAAAAATGAATGCAACTGTAGGAACGAAATGCACTCCTTTTATGTAGTGTTTTAACTCTATATCTGTTCGGATTTGATGAGACATTTTTGAACAAAACTTACCATCTGTTAATTAACACAGTACTTTAAGGCCAATCTTATTGTAATCAGAAAATATTGGACACTAAGTTACTTACTTGACTCTATAACTAACAACTTTCACATTTTATTTGGGTATATTGAATCATGTTCAGTTGATTCCTCAGCAGTTTTACTTGTTACACTGACAGAATTAATATACTTGCTGAAGCTGACCTAGGTATATTACTATATGAAACAAAGCATTGTTTATTGACACCATGACAAGAAGCATGGAAAACCTAGCTTGCGAACTTTACTTTCCCTCAACAAGCAGGTGATATTGTTAGAAATGTTTCGGATAATTTGGCCAAAGGACTAAAGCTATCATACCACTTATATTTTGTCTGCTTCTAAACATACTCTTGATTACTAATTCATTGTCACATTGCTGAATGGTTTGGAATGAGGATAGTTATGACCGCGAAACAATCTGTGTTCAAATTTAAGAATCAATTGATGAATAAATCGCGAGCAAGATTAAGGCATTTAAACTGGTTTTGAATAAACGATACTCGGTAAAAATGGTTTGTGTGCAGACTAGTTTACCATCATTATTACGTTGTTTGAATCGTTTAAGCCAACTGTAACGAATACTGGAAAGTGACGACTTAAGAAATATTATTTTACTTTTTATTTTTTGGTGAAGCAAATAAGGTTTTTTAAACATATTAAATGCTATAAATCTGTTAAATATCTTCCTCTTATGTAGGGCATAGATAATTGATACATGTAATATTTACTTATTTGCTCATCGCTGCTCAGTTTCCATATAGACTAATTAACAGTTATCATCAAGTTCTTGACACTAATTTATGCAGATGACAGCAACATATGTCGATACGTAGTAGAGAATAACCATCTAGAAGTGTTTTAAGTTGATCTCAGCACTCAAGCATCTAGTCTCGGTTAGCAACAACACTTAACAATAAAGCTAAGTATCACCATACCCAGCGAGCATAAAAATGGAAACAATTATCTATCTGGAGAGACATCTCAACCGTTGGTTCTTACGCATAAATAC